ATAAACTGTAAAGATTCTTTTCAAATGGAGAGATGCGTGAAAAAGAATGCTAGGGATGCTTCCTGTTAAGCTAAAGCTCACCACTAAGTAAGGCTCTGTCTGATATTACATTCAAAGCCAATGGGAAAGCTCGGTAACTGCTCCTCTGCACCTGCACTGGCCTCTGACAGTGGGTTCCAAGCACAAGGCCACCGAATTCCAAGGTCAGTGCCGTGCGGAAGGAGCTAGAACTACAGCAACAACTCCTGGATGACTCCATTTGACAGTGGAGCATCCTCCCTGGATTCCCAGTTTGCATTTCCATGGGCCCTTCTAAGAAGAGCACTGGACACGTCGACTTCACCCACATATCACAACTGTGGGTGCTAACACACCATGGAACATGGCTACCCAAACGTGGAAAAGGCAAATAAGATTAAGATAAGAACTCCCCAATTCTGCAGAGGGAAGTAGACTAACTTAGGTAAGTATGTCTCGATACTTACACACCTGTGCTGCATTAAGGTCTGTGTGAGCAATCACTCCGTGGGCAAGGATATTCAAAGGGATTCCTCTATCCAAATGAGGTGAGTGGGCGTTCCCTGTTCTAACGGTTGCCAGGACTCCTTTCATCCAATTAAGGCCTATGAAACAGGAACCGAGAGAAAGCCTTAAATGCGAACTGACCTGAGTCTGAGTGATGGGTCCCTCACCTGTTAGCTATGTGACCCTAAGTTACTCAACTTCTCGGACACTTCCTCTTCTCCTCCAATGGGATACGTGGAAAAGCCGGGAGCTGACACCGGATCTGTCTTCAACGCCTGTTCTTTTAACCACCACACTGGACTGTTCCTTCCTTGTGGGGACGCACGACAGCTCTGCGGGCTGACTGATCTTCAGGAGGACCTTCTCCCATCAAACCCTGACACCGAGGCTCAACCCCAAGGCCGAGAGCAGGCGTGCCTCACTCAGCCTCACGCATGCGCAAGCTCGGAATCGGGGGCTGAAGCGGAGGCGCAGCCCTTTCTCGTGGTAATAAGACGGTCAGTGATGTCCTGTCACAGCACAGAAGTCGCCCTCGCGTGTGGAAGCCACCCTGCAGGCCAGCCAGTGGTCTCCCAATCAAACGTGGCTCCAACACGGGAGTGGGCGCTGTTTTGAAAGCCAAGGTACAACACCGAGGTTGACACAGGAGACGTTCACTGACTAACCCCGACAAACTTTTACATTCTCCTGAGAGGGGCAGCGGGCTTATGTATCTAAATATCTTAAACGCGAAATGAACAGTTCTCGTATGATGCTGTAGGGCAGCGGTTCTCAACCTGTGGGTCGCGACCCCTTCGACGGTCGAACGACCCTTTCACAGGGGTTGCCTAAAGACCATCCTGCATAGCAGATATTTACATGACGATTCATCACAGTAGCAACATGACAGTTATGAAGTAGCAACGAAAATAATGTTATGGTTGGGTCACAACATGCGGAACTGTATTTAAAGGGCCAGAAGGTTGCGAACCACTGCGTGGGGAGTTGTACAACACTGCTGAGGCAGAGGTGTGGGTGACCTCACTTAGCCCTGCCGGCCAGCTCAAGTGCCACCAAGGACAGGCCCGGCCACGGGGCAGTGTTCGCGAGAAGCACGGCATGCCTCGACTGAAAACGTTCAGATTCAAAACACTTTACAACGATGTAGCCAAGCAAAGCACACCTGGGAAGTCGCATATGCCCCTAGCACCGCAGTTTGCCAACCTTACCTCCGAGGACAACAGGAGCCTCCGCCACACCTTCCTCCTTCCTCCGCAGCCCGCTCCGGATTATCCAACAAGATGGCGACCGTGATGCCGCAATGGCCGCTGGGAGTCGGCTGCACCGCGTTCTGCGCCATCAGCCTCCCCACCTGGTTCTAAAGGGAGAACCACGCCCCACTCCACGGAGCCAGGTGCCATCCTCCCGCTCTCCTACCACAGGCTGATCTCCATCCCCGCCATACACACGCCATTCCCGCCTACACGCCCACCACCATCCTTTACGCAGCTGTTTTCCATGATGTCAAATGGCTTCACCTTATCCCAAATCAAATCTGCCTTTAATTCCGATCATCTATGTTGTTTAATCCACGCATAGAGCACAGAAGTGGACAAAGACTGCTTTGGAGGGAAGGGAAGGCTTCACAGAGATGTGACATGGGTGCAGGTTTAGAAGAAGAATGGATGACTGACTGCCAAGTGGAGTAGGCAGGGAAAGCATTCTGGGCAGAAGGAACAGCATGTGCAAAGCCTTGAGAGAGTCCTGAAAGGCCATAGCAGGCTTGCAGGAATAAGGCTGCAGAAGCTGGTTGCAGCTGGAAGAAGACCCTTGTCTGCCGCACTGAAGTGGCAGAACTTGATCCTGGAGAGAAAGGAAGCCAAAGGGTCTGATTTTGGTCGAGGGCCCTAGTCAAGCTCATGCCTTCATGGTGTCTAACCTAATCGTGCAATTATCTCCTTCCTCAACCTTCCTATGCCACACAATCAGGTGTTCTTACTTGCAGCTCTTACAGCATCTCAGTCTGTGTTTCCACTGACTAGAGAAGACCGGAGGGTCGGAATCTTTTAGTTTTTTAATTAACTTCTGTCTTAATAGTGCCCAGCAAGTAAATGCGCAATAAATTCCCAGGATTGACTAATTCAGATTTTTTTCCAGGGGATACAAGCAAACTAGGTTCCAGAGATACAAGTAAGGAAAGCTCAAAATCTAAGTCACCACAGCCCTTACTATTGGCTATAAGTGGCAGGATCCAGGACCACAAAAGTTAACTTCAAAAGCAACTACACTTGAGTCTACATTCCATGAATTTGGATTCCTTTCCCTTTCTGCCCAGCTTTGCCCCACCACTCAAGAACAGATTCACTCCAACTCCCCTGGGAATACTGGGCCAAAAGGAATAGGTACCAGCTCATCTCTGATTCTAATACCGCCCCCCCCCTCACGTCCATTGGCTGGGAGGGTGGTGGACAATCAATGCATTTAGCAAATGCATCTGGCTCTAAAGTAAGAGAGAGAGAGAGTCTGTTCCTGTGTATAAATGCCAAGTTGCAGAAGGTTACCATAGCAACTCCAGCAGGGTGCTGCAGTGGGCAGCTTTGCACAGAGGTGCAGGAAACCCATTCTTTAACATCTGGGCTTTTGCTGTGCACATTGGATCCTAATAGGCACATCATGGTTTTAGGCCTTAGCTTTGGGATTCTGCAAAAAAAGGAAGTGGAATTTTGAATATTTGCTAGTCTAATCTCCCTTTTTTCATATACCACTCATGTCCCTTTCAACACAGTAAACACTGCATGTGAAGCCCAAAAAACAGGCTCTTTAGAAACACATAACTCCCCATACTCATTCTTATGTACTATGATGAACAGATTGTACTTGCATATCAGCAGGACTTTGGCATGAAATTTACATCCACTGAATAACCAGCAATTGCACACTGTAATGAGCAGCATATCCACAATGTCTCCATTATTCCCAGTCAGTCCCTAGTTCTCATTATGAGTACATGTTAATGCAAAAATAAATAATGCCATCAAGAGCGTAGGTGTTCTTAATAGGGTTGCCTGAGCAGCACTCCAGGAACTGTAAACCAACTTTTCAAAGGTCAGGTAATTTCAGAAATAGCTCTCCCACATGGGTGGGAAGTGAAGATTTACTCACCCACTTCTTGATGTGTTCAGTGTGAAGATATCTCTTGTGAAGAAAGAGCATGAGAAGATGTTGAATAACATTCTACTTGTAGCTCTAACCTACATGTGGCCATCAGGAGGCCATACCCCTGCAAAGTGAGCCCTAGTTGGTAGGGCATTAAGTAGCTAAAACAGTCTCCTAAACATTTGCATTATTTGTTTTTGAATCTAGAGACTCACTTGTGGTTATCTCTGAATTCTCTCCTGGGCAAAATAAGAACGACTTACACCATCACTAAAGAAATGGACTGTATAGTAGAGAACTACACGTGCGCAGGGTGAGAGCTGCACGTGCACATGGAAAAGTGAAGGAAATTTTGGTTAAACGAAGTCACATGAATCTCTACAAAGGTGCTGCAGAGACCTTTGCAACTTGGAAGTGGAAAGGGGGTTGGGAATTAGAAGTGAGGTAGAGTTTCCAGTACCTGAAGGAGTTTCGTGGCCTAAGAAAATTAAAACAGAGGCACCAAGAGAGATACGTAAACAGACAAAGGAAGGAAGGAAAAGCCTCTTGCCCAGGGTGCCAGGTGTGCAGGAATGTCTAGGCCTATCTGAGGTGTCCTGGAGAATAAAGAGGATGCCAATATCAATGGAGTTCAGCTGGATGACTTCTTTACCCATGGAATTGTGAGGTGGCATGGAGATGTGGACATGACTGTTATATATGTAGGTATGAAGGTAGGACGTGCCAGGATGGACACCAGGGGTATGAGAAACTTGAGTGTTCTGAAGGAAGGCCAGAGAGTTTCAGTCAGTACCTGGTGACAGAAAGGAGCTCTCAATAAGTGAAGACCAGAGATCCAGCCAATACAAAGTGGCCTGCACATGCCTGGCAAGGTGACAAAGGGATGTCTGTCTCCTACTCCCCCAGGAAATGCTGCGGGTGGAGTGAGTATCCAAGGGGTGTGAAGGGAAGGACTGAGCATGTGGCCAGGGAGTCCGGAGAAAGGCTTATGGTAGCTGTGCCGGTAGCGGCACACAAGTGCTGTCCATGTGCTCCTGAATGAGAGCTGGGAGGTCAGGGCTGGGAGAGGTTTCTGAGAGACTGACAACCTGTTCCTGTGAGTCAGGGCAGCTGAGGGAGGTTGAGGGCCCAGCGTCCAGGTAGGATGTGGGAAGAAGCCAGGTGCACTGAGGCGCTAGCCTGCAAGTGGGTGTGGAGAACGCTTGGTAGGGGGAGGATCCAGCGAGGTGGGAGTGGGGGAGGGGAGGTCGCCGGCCTGTGGGTGGGTAGAGCGAGCCAATGTGGGGGGTGGGGGTGCCCGGCCAGCGCCTCAGGCCGCCACGACGTTCCCCGGGACTCACCCAGCACGAAGTAGGGCAGCTCCGTGTTCTCCAGGTCGTCCACCACGACCATTTCTCCCGGGAAGTCGTTGCGCACCGAGAAGAGGAGCTTGGGCTCAGAGGCCGAGGGGCTGTGCATGATGCTCAGGTCGTTCTCGCGCAGGAAGGGCAGCGCCGACACCGTGATGCTTTTGAGCTTGCACTCCAGCTCCTTGGAGGGATCCGCGTCGCCCGCTGCCGTGGCCAGCACCACCGCCGGCCCCCAGCAGCAGGCGAGCAGGGCGCAGAGCCCGACTAAAGCCATCTTGAGCCGGGCGCCTTCCTCCCAGCGCCGCGAAGGTGGGGGAGGACGCGAGGCGAGCGGGGAGGGCGCGAGCGGGCGCGCGCGGGAGGCGGGGGCGGTCGGGAGGGGACGCGCCGCGGGGGAGCCCAGGTTTCCCCCACCGGAGGCTGCTTGCAGCGCGGGGCTTGGGTGCTGATGCCTGGAGAGCCCGCGTTCTTTGTTTCTCAGAGCTGCTAATCTGGAGAAGGGGAAAAGGAGGGGGAAGGAGAGGAGAAAACGGGAAGGAAGGACAGGGGGAGGAAGGGAGCCTAGGATTCTAGGAGAGCAAGTCAGTCCCCAGCAGGCTGCCCGTGCGCAAGCCTTTCTCCTCCTTTGCCTCCCTCAGGAGGAGCTGACTCTTGGCCATTAACTACCAGCAAGGCATTTTTAGAAATGGGTCTAAAATCTCCCCTCTAGCAACATCATCCAGATGGCTGGGAAGGGCACAAACAGGCAAGGTGCTTATTCAGAACAAGTGGTGGAGGTGGTGGTGGGAGGGGTTACCCCCAGTTATTTTGTGGACGTAGGTGGCCCCATTCTGTCTTGTTTAAACCACTAGTTGGACCTGTATACCGGATAAGCCAATGCTGGGATAAACACACTGTGTATTTTTTACTCAACACTAACTTTGCAGAAATAGTTAAAGAAAATGTTAGTTATATAGATAAGTATAGATGGAGAGGTAGATATGAACAACAAAGAGCAAAGCCAATCTACTGCACACAGTGAGCAGGAGACCAGAACTTTCATTTGCAACTTCTCTCTGCCTCTTTGTTTCATTTCTGTTATAAATGTTATCTGTTATAACCAATATACTAGTAAAGATGACTTGGTGGGTGCTGTAATAAATGTTGAGCCTTTAATTTTAGAGAATCCAGTAAAGTGAATGGAATTGGAAGAATAGGAGACAAACTAAAGTTTCGAAGCACTCTGAACAAATGAAAAAAGAATAGAGGGATATCCTTGGGTAGGGCCAAGTCAAGCCCAGCCCAATCAAAGAGTGGAACGGAACAGATAAAAACAACAACAACAAAAATGCATATAAGTTTTGTTTCCATCAGTGCTGGGCAGTGTTGCCTTAAAGTAATGACCTTATGCAATAAACAGTGGTAGAAAATGACATTTATGTGTGCTGGAATCTGATCTCTAACAGAGCTTTCACATGATAACCAACAACTTTTTGAAAGCTATGCCCCTCCACCATCATTGATTCAATGCTGACTTAAATACTAGTGATATAAGGCTGTTACAGGTCATTCTTACTCCATAGGAATTTTTTGGACCACACTCTTCAAAGAGGACCCCCGTTTTAGAAACAATTTCATTCTTATTCTTCCTGGTATCAATTTATTGGCATATGTGAGTGCATGTCCTTAAAAAAAAAAAAGCTTTGCCATATATTTAACAAAGTTACTCTAATTGATGGATGGGAATAGAGAAAATGAGCCATGATTACCTCAAAAAAGAAAAAGAAAAACTTTATTGCAAGTCTGAATCTGTTGTATCTGGGAACTAACCCAGAGGTATATTACCATGTAGCATTGCAAGCTCCTGCAGAGCAGATTTATCAGCTAATGACCTTTCTAAAACTCTTCCTCATCTTCATTGTTCCCCAAGGAGGTAGTGAGGTAGAGAAAGACTCCATGATACCTTTCCCCTACTCTCACTAGCATAAAAAGTAATATTAAACCTAGTTATACAAGATTTATCATTGAAAAATTAGGGTAAATGCCAGGAAAACACACATATTCCTAAAATGTGAGAAATTGCCAGATCACCTATTAATCCAGTCTTTTGTTTAACACATGAGGAAATTGAGGCCAGTGAAATAATTGGGTGATTTACCCAAGATCAATCTGCTGAGAAGGGGTAGAGATAACTCATATTTTTTCCTTAGTACTCTTTCCACTATGTGGCTATGGTAGAGCATCCATGAATTATCATTGGGTTCTGTGGGTCATCATAACTCATTCAGTAAACATATGCAAACGTACCATATGCTGGGCATTAGGCTAGGCATGGACAAATACTAAGGGGAAAAAATCTCTGCTTTTGAGTAGCATGTAATCAATTTTTTTGAAATCTCTCTAATTTTCTGAAGTGTCTTGAATCATTTTAGAAAACCCAAGTGAACCATTTGGGGTCGATTTTCTGATAAATTGATTTTAGTATTCTGTGCTTATCTATAGTTATTTGTACATGCTTATTGACATTTATAAAAAAATAGTACATGGCCATTTTTAAATGTATACGTAGTTGGAATTTGGTGTCTAAGCCTTTGTATACCTCTTTCTCTATGGAATGACTGAGCAAGAAAACTGTACAAATAAAAAGAGATAGTATTTTGCCTGAGCACTGGATTCCTGTAAACTTGGATACAATATCATACAATGTCACATGGCCTCCATTTAAGGAATTAAATACCTACAGATAGGGGAGAGTTTGAAGTTCACAGAAACCAGCCCATCTGCACAGTGTAATGTCTTAAGTTTAAATGGGACTAGAAGTTTGTATGCATCTCAATCATTACCTTTGTGTATAGCAAACACGATGTAGTGAAACCACAGACCTGGATTCAAGTTTCAACTATGTAATTTGCTTATTTGGAGGTGAGCCTGGACCAATCTTATCTTTAATGTTCTCATCAATAAAATGAGGTCAGTGAACTCTGCCCATCACATATGCTACAGATACTTTAAGTGCAAGTGTTTATATTCACTAAGACACTATAAAATATCAAGGTCAGGTTCTGTTATCCCCAATCCAGACTTTTCTCCTGAGATCCATCTTCCTATATTTAAGTATCAGTGGCCTTGCTCCTTGACTCATAATAGCTTCCAAATGCTTCCCCTGCTATTAGCCTATTCTTCACATAGCTGCCAGGTTATCTTCATGAAATCTTGCTTTCATCATGCCATTCTAAAAATTTCCCCCCCTATGGGAATAAGTTCAAGCATGGTTTAGAAATTTAAAAACGCTTGCAAATCTCATACTATGTATTCTCTTAGATTTATTGCTTATTACGCTGTCCTTCCCTCCTCCCCACAACAACACACATACACAACCCAATCAAATTAAAGCCCATTTTTGCTCTTCTCATGCATTTTTTCTACCTGGAATGCACCACTCTGTGTTCCCTAGATCTTCCCATCCATGCAGACCAATACCCAGATTCTTCTATGCAGTGAGACCTTCCATCACTTCCTTTGCTCATAGCTCCTCTCACAGAGGACTTACACACACACACACACACACACACACACACATCCTTAGGAGCCAAGGACCATTTCCTGAGACAATGTGCTCAATATTCTTATTAGCAAAATAGAAACAATGATACATATTTTTTAGAATAGATGTATATATACCTACACTAATAAAAGGGAAACATGCAAATTGGTGTCACTCTGCTACGCCCACCAGCCAATCAGAGTGACTATGCAAATTAACCCAACAAAGATGGTGATTAATTTGCATACACAGGTGCAGAGCAAAGACTGAAGGCTGAAGACTGAAGACTGAAGAGGCTTGGCTTCTCTGCTGCGGCCAGACCAAAGGCCTGGGTCCTGGGTGCCGGAGGAAAACCGGTGCCAGCAGCCAGGGGAAGGAAGGCCTATTGCACGACTATTGCACGAATCTTCGTGCAACTGGCTTCTAATATATATATATATATATATATATATATATATATGTATATATATATATATAATATATATTATATATATATATATACATATATATATATATAAAGTCTGACACATTTGAGGCATTTAGTTGGTGCTCAACATGATAGCTTTTACCATTATCCCCTCATTCAGTTACTTCAAAAATAATGGTAGTCTTCAGAATCTTCTTTGTGAGATTTTGTTCCCTTTTAGTAGCCAAAAGCAAATTAAGTGATTTACACTCTTAGCTATATATGCCAGATAATGATTGCATGTGTCTACCAAAAGACATGTACAGGAACATTTATAGCAGGTTTGCTCATAATATACAAAAAATGTAAACAATCCAAATATGCATCAATTGGAGAATAAATTCATGTAATACAGTCATGTTACAAAATATAGCACAGCAATAAAAAATAAACATGTAATTACATGAATGAGTCTCATGGACATAATGATAAATGAAAGAAATCAGGCCATAAGAGTAAAAGTGTATAGCCCAAGATTCTATATTTATGAAGTTCAAGGAGAGATAACATTAATCTTGGAAGGTGGAAATCAAAATAGTGGTTATCACTTGCGGAGAGAGGTTTTGACTAAGAAGGGTAATACAAACTTCTTTGAGTGCTGGAAATTACGTGGGTAGTGTTCCAAAGGGTATATGTATAGGCAAAATATCATCAAACTGTACACATGTGGAATTTAATGTATATTATACCACATTAGATTTTTTTAGAGGGCTTAGGACTCCATAGGAGAAGAAAGTACAAGTAAGTTTTTCTTTTTTCAAGTTGTTTTCCCGTCTCCCAATTTCACCCCCTTTCCTTCTTCCTTAGAGATCTTGGAAAATTTAACTTTCTTTCCATTGAAATTGATAACAATTTGTTCAACTACTCTTTCCCTTTAATCACTCCCTTCTCCAATTTTATGAGAGTTTCCACACATAATGTCTTAGCTCCTGGGACAAGTTCAGGGGGTCTCTGTCACTAAGCACAGGAGTAAATAATTCAGCAGTTGGACAGCAACAGATGTAGTCTGTCACTGGTTCACTTGGATATTTTATCCAGGACAAGAGCTGGGGACCCTCTAGGACCACCTCTCTCTGACACATTTTGTAGCTTAGACAAACAAATACCTACAGGATGGAGAAGGACACTCAAACCTGTATAAGATACACAGGGGATAATATAGGTGAAAGTGATGGATCATTGGGACTAAGGCTGTGTATTTTTGGAATATTTCGAATTTACCCCCATTCATTCAGAACACCTGGTTCCTTGATGCTTTTTGGCTAACCCTGGTTTATATTACTTTGACATCCATTAAGCCTCTGCATTCCTTTATTTTTTCCAGTTTTTTAAATAAAATAATCTTTGCTGTTGCTCTTCATTCTAGAAACTAAACCAAAATACTTCTCTCCCTCCCTGTGTATTCTCTCTATATTTCTCCCACCACATTGACTTACTGTGAAACCCCCAAATTCCTTTGCCAGCCCCAACCCTTAGCTCTTCTGTTGAACTGCAGTTTTCTTCAACTATTAGTGTCCTTTTTCTTGCCAATATTTAGTGTAGTATGCTAGTTAGCTGGACGTAATTCAGTTTTGCTTCCGCATTAGGACATCAAGGATATATTTCACACTCTTTGATTGAAAGTTAATATTTTCTTCTCTCTCTCTCTCTCTCTCTCTCTCTCTCTCTCTCTCTCTCTCTCTCCTTTTCTCTTTCTCCCTAGCTCTCTCTCTCTCCCCTCCCCCACTCTCAATTCACAGGCTCAGCTACACCACCTGCTTCACAGAAACAAGGCTGGGCCTGTTCCGAATCTCTGGTCCCCCTTTAAAAACCAAATGGAAGTTCACATTCCCTCTTCCTTACACTCACTGACGTGAAAGGAGACACACAGAAGGAAAACAGCGCAGGCAGAACAATTTCCTCTTTTGGAAGCAGGGCATCCCCCACGCCCCTTAATTTCACCCCAGAATTTTTCTTGCCTTCGCCTTCACAATCCTGGTTTGGGGACAGAATGTTTCTAGATTTAGCTGTTCAAAGTGTCTCTCTCTCTCTCTCTCTCTCTCTCTCTCTCTCTCTCTCTCTCCTCTTCTAAGTCTCTCCTATCTTTCTGCTCTCTCTCTCTCTCTCTCTCTCTCTCTCTCTCTCACACACACACACACACACACACACACACACACACACACGGGGGGGGGGGCTCATTTCTAATTAATTCCGGACCAAGAGGCTAAAGTACACAAACAACTAAATAAAACCTCAAATTAGAAAGAGAATGACTCAAATGAGTCCCTATTTCTGGGAATTCTAGTTAAGCAAACAAAATGGTCTGGGATAAATGATTATTGTAACTCAGGAAGATGAGAAAACCTAATTAGCTCCCAAGCTTCTCCCCGTTCCTCAGCCTGCATAGACTCTCCGACACCCAGCCCAAGCCCTCCTCACCCACACCAAAAAGTCCCTGCGGCTGGGCCGGGAGGGTTAACAGAGCTGGTGCCCGGCCTGGCGCGGACCAAAGGAGATAGCGGGGAGACTCCGAGCCCACCCCCTGCCAAGCCGCCAGCCAATGGGCGCCCGTGGGGACGATGGCGCTGTGTCCCATTGGCTGCCAACCTACGTGCATAAGAGAGAGAGAGGCAGGCCGGGCAGCATTGTTATCTTAAGACACTCATCTGGTGTCTGAGTCTGCAGGTGACACTGCTTACGTGCGGAGCGGGAGTCAGAGCAGGGGCTCGCGGCTGCAGCCGGGACTGGACTACGCCCGCCTCAGAAGCTGCTGGCGGGGCTGGGGCAGCGCTTCCCCTGCGCCTGAGCATCCCGCTCGCACTGGCCCGGGTTTGGGCACCTGCCGTGCGGTGCGAGCTCAGGGACAGGTCTGCGGGCAGCAGAGCGAGCGCTGAAGCCGGCGAAACGGGCTTTGCCCATGTGCTAGGCAGTGATTTCGGGCAAGAGAACAAGAGGGTGAATCCCTTTAGAGTTGCAAGGAAAGCGAGATCTTGGGTTCCTCTCCGGTGGACAGACAGGGGACTCTCCAGGTTTGCTGTTGCACTTTCCTTCCCTCTCCCACCCGCGTGCGCTGAAGCCCACTTCCAACCTGCTTTGGGTGCCAGGGATCCAGGCTGCTTAGCGAAAGGCAGCCGGCAAGTGGTCTAGCGAGGCAGCGGCGGAGGCAAAGCCCAGAGCAAGAGAATTTGAAAAAAGACTTCCTTTCCCTCTCACATGCTGAAGGAGAGGCATTCACGTTTCCCCAAATGAGAAAGCCACAAGAAATCATGAAGTAGAAACTTTGGAAAGCTGCCACTGGAGATGTTGCACAAAAACCTGGAATCTTTTAGGAGTCTCCTCCCAGTCGGTGGACATTTGGGGAGCAGCTGATACAGCCAGGAGGGCTCTTGCAAGGATCCAAGGTAACAGTGCAGGGTTTGGGTGGTTTTCCTCTGTCCCCTTTTCCTTGCCCTTTCTGCTATGTTCCTTGGTAAGGGGATCATTTGCCCCCTTACTACCCTGTTGCCCTGTAGCCTGGCAGTTGCAGGCAGAAGGAATGATCCCATCTGGTAGTTTCTGTCTGGTGGAGCTGAGCAATACAATTTAGGGTTTAGCTAGAGATGGCCCTGTTACTGCTTCCTGGTGTGCATGACTGACACCCGCTTGGGCACACTGCCTGACCTATATTGCATTTGCCTGGGCTAAGTCCTCAAAGTTAGTGCAACTCCCATTAGCTTCAGAAAATTCAACCGAGCTGCATAATTGCAGAAAATGCCCAGGACTTCTGCCTGCTGAGCTGAGACTGTACGTGGTTCACTATGTTTGAGAAGGACCCCAAAGAGCTGAGGCCATGCTACGTGATACATCTATACTCACATGTTCCTAGAGCTCAGTGGCATGCCTGTAGAGTCCTGTCTCTTCCTCCCATGCACATACAACTAAGAAAAAAAATTCTGAGGAGTGAGCCCCGTGGGCTGCAAATAGTCTCCCCAGGGTGGTGGCAGGAGCCCATTGATTGAGTTGAGCCTGGCTGCACATTGGAAGGAAGGGTGTGCTGACATTATCTAGCCATCTCTCTCCCTGGTTCTGTGATCGCCTGAGTACACAGTCTAATGCTTCCTCTGTGTGTGTGTGTGTGTGTGTGTGTGTGTGTGTGTGTGTGTGTCTGTGCTCACAGCTGTATGCAGGAAGCGGGTTGCTAACAGAAAAAACATGCATGTGCAGCTTGCTGCCCAGGCCCCAGGCTGAGGGTTCCTTCCTAGTAGGAGCCTGAACTTGGGAGCTGCTGTTCCAGTCCAGAGGAGTTTCCTCCTCACCAAGCAGTCCCAATGCCTGGTACATATTTATCCAGGATATATAGACCTAAGCCAAGTATTATCGAATAATCAAGCTAATGCACTGTAACGTGATTGAACAGACCCCTCTGTAAAGAACTGTGTGTGCACTCTTCCTAGCCTGGAAGCCCGTGCCCTAAGCAGGAAGAAATGTTTTGTGAAAAGGGGAGCAACTAAAACAGGCCTGCTTATAGCTGGGTAATCTGGGCCTTCTCCTGCAGGGACAATAATATGTCAGCATAGACCCATCAGGAGATTGAAAGGCATGTTGTCAGTCAAGTATTTCTGCCTCTGTCCTTCTCCAGACATGGGTATGCGGAAGTAATACTCTCTGATCAGGCTCTCTAGAATGCATGCAATGCCAGTATTAACCAAGCAGCTCAAGTATTTCACAGAATCCCCTGGGGGGCAGTCTGATGACATCAGGCAACAGCGAAGGGATGCTGAAGTTGGTGTTTTCTTTTTTGACCTCACACAGTTGTGGGTATGTTATTTGTTTAAGGCAGGACTCTCAGAGTTCCCGCTCAGCCAGAGTAAGATGCTTTGCAGCATTGGGGGCATGACCAAGCAATGCTACCACAGTGTTCCGAGATTTTTACCAGTGTCACTGCTGCTGCTACTTTGGGGAAAGATGCATGCTTTGCTTCTTGAGGAGGGATATGATTTGGGTAGGTGCAGAGCATGGATACTGTGAAATGTTTGAGGAAAAGGTAGCAAATGTCAGACCAGGGTCTTCCCTGATGAGGGAGGTTGCCTCAAAGGGTTTGACAGCTGAGCTGCAGGCATGTAGAAGACAGAAGCATCCCTGACTCTGGCCTCTCCTTCCTCACCAAACAAGGGGCCAGCTTGTCACCCGGAATGGGGTGATGTGTGCTGCAGTGTGGGCACAACAGGAGGAGAGAAGGGGATGGCTGGGGAGGGAGGAGGGTTCCTGCTCTGTTAGCACTAGGCCACTCTCAAGGATGGAAGCATCTTCTCCTATCTGGCCCTTAAAGATCATCCTCTGGGTGTTTCTGGCCTCCTAACAGGTTGTTTACTGAGCAAGGCCAGAGGGCAAAGAACAACCCTGCGTCATCAACTCCTTCTGATCCCCAGGCTAGCCACTGGGGAGCTTCACATCAAAGAGATCCCCTCCGGGGACAGGGACTGTGCTCCAAAATCCCTCCCCTGCTCACAAACAAGAGGTAATCTGGAGGGACTGAGACATCTATGTGGGCACTTTCTGCTGACTGGGATGCTTAGAGTTGAGGTTTCCTGGTTAATGGCTTGCTTTCCCCACTGTGCAGTGTATTTTTGGCAATTCAAGTATTTCTCTTAAATAAGACCTTGTCTAAATTTTATAATGGCATCCTTTTCCAATGGGCTGGGGGCATGGCAGGGAGCTCATCTAATTAATCCTCACATGCCTTATTGTCTCATTGATCTTTGATTACCTAAGAAGTAGAACTACAATGATTTTAGCCCCCTTTTTGGAAAAGCAAGGGCAAAGGACCTCAGGAAGATGAACCAACTGCTCTTACTCAGGGAAATTAAGGGAACCTATGGGGTAGGGTGTGGGTCTCATCACTGCTAAACCAATCTCAGGCTCCATGACTCCTCCTAAGTAAGGACTGGCTTAACCTCATGCCTGTGATCTGATTCATTTTTTTTTTCCTGAACTCTACAAGAATGGGAGGTTGCAGTGACATACACCTTATCCTCTGGCCCTGGACTAAAGGCTTTGAGGGGTAAAAGTCTTAAAATAACCTTGCCTTTGCCCTCAATGATCTTACAGTCTAGTTAGGAAAACAGGCTTACATCTGGGAAAAGGTAAATGGCCTTATACATTCTAAGCAGCAGTTCAATACAAGAGATTTGAGAGGCTGACCTAATTAATCTAGGATTGATTGGTCCAGATAATGAGAGCTATCAGTATTGCAAGGAGGTACCATTGTGCTACGCCAGGGGGACTGGGGTGGGATTTGTTTGAAGAGGGAGAAATGGGGAAAGGACGCTAGCTGACAGGGATGCTAAGGGCAGCACAAGCTGAAAGCCTGGAAACATCAGGCTTGTGTGATTCCATGGGGTTTGCCACTTCCCCACTTGTATCATAGGAAGACCATACACTTGGGTTAATTATTTGAAGCACATAATGGCCTAGAGCAGTGGTTCTCAACCTTCTGGCCCTTTAAATACAGTTCCTCATGTTGTGACCCAACCATAAAATTATTTTCGTTGCTACTTCATAACTGTAATGTTGCTGCTGTTATGAATCGTAATGTAAATATCTGATATGCAGGATGGTCTTAGGCGACCCCTGTGAAAGGGTCGTTCGACCCCCAAAGGGGTTGCGACCCACAGGCTGAGAACTGCTGGCCTAGAGGAAGCTGTCCTTGGGCCAGGCAGAGCACTGAAATGTTGGACATCTCATCAGCCATTGAAATTTACCTAGCCTTCCACCTACTCTGGAGCCTAAGTCATACATTCTGGGAAAACAGAACTCAAGGTCAGAGAGCTAATCAACACCATATCACAAAAACTGGATGAAGACATTGAGGGACAGCAGGCAGATTTCAAGAGAATAGGAGAAAATATTTTCATATTTTTAGAATCAGGCTCCCCTAAGAGAAAACCCTGCTTTTCCTCCATTTCCTATTTCCCCACCCAAAAGTCCCTGTTGGGGTTTACTTAGAGCCAGCAAAATACCAAAGCCTTTAGGCATTTCACATTGAGCATATTTTCAATCTTAAGATTCTTGAGCATGCCCATGTACATAACCTCTTGTCTCCCCTCCTCTTTCCCTTTTAATAAAACATATGCTGTAGCAGTCACAAAGGAGGCAGCCACAAAAAAGCAGAAGGGGTGGGTGCAGGATTGCCTGCAGCTGTACCACCGAGTACTGTGACTGCTCAGCTGAGCAGCAGAGGGGAGAGGCAGTCTGCCAACCAGGGCAGGGCCAAGGAAGGGCCAAGGGCTGCAGACCACCAGGAGATGGCTGTGACCAGCCAGCCACACTCATTTGCTCCAACACTGAGCCTGATCTCCTCGGAAGAAAGGTCAAGGCAAAGCATAGGTCCCTTGAGACACAACTATCCTATTCATTGGTCTGCACTGGGTTTGGAGACATCCATTCACCCTGCAGGTCCCTGGTTGCTTGGGTGGCCCCATTTCAGCAAGGAGAGTGAATGACTTGCCTAAAGTCTCATCCTATTTGCTCTCAGGTCCAGAGGAAAATGCCCAAGAACCCAGTCTGCTTGATTGCTTAGTCCTCGAGTTCGCCCTGGGGACAAGTCCTGAGGGATATGTACTTTCTCTTGAAAATCCTGCCCTTGGCCTTGTTGTCACCTTTCTTTCCAGCGTGAAATGACCCTGAAGCTGAATGGTGAGGCCACTGCCTTTTTTCTTTATTCTTTGCAAGTGTCCATGCCCATGTTTGGGGCTAAGATAGAGGTCCAGGCCCATGTGCCTGTGGTTAGTGATTGTGGTTAAAGCCTCTTCTCTTTGGGAGCGAAGACTGTCAGCTCAGTTATGCTTCAGATTGGGGGCTGCAGAGGGCAGGTCTCACCTGACCAATTAGGATGCAGTTTGATCTCTCTTGCAATTGTCACTCTGTCTTGAGGATGGGAATAAAGTTGAGTACTGAGATGACAGTGTGGAATCTTTACAGCCAGTTCCATCATTCCTTTTATGGACGCTCACATGAAATGCACATATTTGGGGAGTGCTGGATTGAACAGAGGGTGTGGCAATCTGATAGCCCCCAAGACTGAGCCCTAGCCACCAGCCACGTGTAGAGGATGAGAACTTAAATGTGTGCTCTAAGTGTAAAACACATGACGAATTTTGAAGACTTAGTATTAAAAAAAGATAATAAAATATTTGATCAGTAATTTTTAAATATTGATTACATGTAAAAATGATTGAGCTAAATAAAGTATATAAAGGTTAGCTTCATCCATCTCTTTTTACTCCTTAATGAGGGCTACTAGGAAAGTTGAATCATATATGTGGCTCGCATCATATTTCTTTTCAACAGCGCTGGTGTAGGCCCTGCAGAGGCATGAGACAGGAGGAGCCAGAGACTTGAGAATAGAGATCATGGAGGGAGG